TCAGGACTCAGACATCAATTGATGATATTACAGCACGGATATGCGTACATAACATAACATAATAATAACATAAGATAACATCCCGTACAACCATAACAGTAGTCTCGGCATTTTCGGATGCCTATACAAGGGCATATTTCTTCCTGCCTTATTTTAAAAAAAAGAAACGAAATAATATCGAAGAAAAATCTGAGTCTTCAAAATCCTGTACTAATCCAGGATAAAAAAAAATATAATAAATTTGTTTACACGGCTGAACACATTTTGTGGACCTCTCCTTGAACCACCGATGATAAAAACAGATATTATCTCTTTTAGCACGTGATGATCGCCCTTTTCCTGTCATTGCTTCTTCCTCTTTTGCCCAACTGAATGATCAAATTATTTACCATGGCTTTTAACTCGTCAATTTCTTTCTTCATCTCATTCGGTTCATTTCTTTGCACTACACAAACCGTTTCTGTTTCCTGTACCTCAAATACCTTATCAGCCACCTTGGTCCACTGTGCAGAATCACCTTCGACTGCAGCTACGATTGTTCTAACTCTCACTGGCAGTCGCTATAACCACAATGACTTCAGTACGTCATCACCCATTGAACTGCCAGCCATTTCCTTCATTTTCTTCAGCAATTGCGTTGGATTCATGTCGCCTAGCTCCAATTCTGTCAACAATTTACGCAGCCTTTTGTGCTACGATTCTGTGAATTCATTTATTAACCGTTTCTTCAACGTCTCATATTTCAACACCTTCGGTGGATCCCTAATCACATCAGCTATGCACTCCAGATATTTCAGCTCTAAACCTGCTACTACATGGTCGAACTTTGTATCATCTCTCGTTATTCCCGCATTCCTGAACTGCGCCTCCATTTGCAGAAAAAAATGGTCCGGGTGCTCTCTTGAAAACATTATCGACTTTATTGACACCCGGTATACCTCCTTGTCAGTGCGGCTTTCTCCTTCTGCCGGAAAAAATTCTTCTTCCTCACGGTTAGTCATCTTGCTTGTTTAGTCGGGCTTGATAAAAACTGACAACTCCTTTTTTGTGTCTGGGTCATCAATGTTGTGCTTGCAATAACAAGATAGTTTTTTATTATTTAAAAAAACATTATTTATTACTACACAAAACTTTTATTGTTTTTCTTCTAACCAGTCTCTAAACAAAAACTAATTTTAATAAATATTTTTATAAAGAGGTTTTCGAACAGAAGTGAAACAACAACAAAAATTTATTTTTTAAATTATTTTAATTAATTGAATTTTTGGCTGACCATACAGCTGTTTAAAGTATTGCCAAATACCCTTCATCAGTGGTCTTGGAAATAATTCTTATATTTAATTATTCGTAAATAATTATTTTTGAGACTGCAAGTACCAGGAATTGAACTCGGGTCCTGCCAAATATGAAGCTCAGAATCAGCGCACCTTAACCAACTGATCCAAAGCCGTACTTGACTTTTTATGTTCGCATATTTTTGCTGGAGTTTTGTTACTTTTGCTATGAAAGTTTTTATTAACAATTTTACTTGCTGTATTTATATATTAGAACGAAATCATAAACCAGCTGTAGAATAATTGAATTAATTAATTAATTATATTTTTTATTTTTAATTGTTAAATTTCAAAAATATTCTATTCGTAGAGGCATTATTTGTTACATGATTTGTTCTTTCTTATGTATAGAACCTAATCTAGGAATGTAATGCTGAGAAAGTCATGCTAATGTTACTCCACTAGTCGCACGGGCGAGAACCAATATTTATTGGCGAGAACCATATTTTTGTGAATAAGTTGTAATTTAACGTTAAGTTTTCCAGACGGAAGTTACTATTATATTATAAATATTTTTAAATAAAATATTTTCAAATCTCAAAAATCTGATAAATTTCGCCTACTTTGTTATTTGTCACCACAAACTTATTTTTTAACAAACTTCATATTTTTCAGATAACTTTGGTGCTGTTCGGGTGAGTGCCTTACTGTAGCGTCTATATGTGTGGTGGTGTTGGATACCTTTCTGACAGTTAGACACCGTTGGTGTACGCGTGTGATCATTTATGTAGGATAATTACATAATTAAATGTGCATAAATTAATCTAAATATAACATAAACATATATAAGTTAAGTGAAATACGTGTTTTCGTTTTTATGTGAGAAATCACAGTGTTTTTTCTTTATTTTTTTATTCTTAAAAAACTACCTTACCATTTTAGCGTATGCATTCCATGCTATAAAAATTACTGGGTTGCACTCAACATGGTGCCACCCGATTCTAATAATCAAATTTTGTTTAATCTGTTAAGCAGATAAAATAATGTTATAAGTAATTAAGTATGAGTTAATTATAAGTAATAGTACTTATACACATAGGGTGTGTTAACTTATATAATTTTGTGAATTTTTTTCGGTTCCTTGATTACGTTCCGCTAACCTACAAAAACGAAGGCGACCACATCAAGGTCACGAACGGCAGATACCACAACAAACAAGGCAACTCTACTTGTTCTGTGGTCATGGATTTTAGTGTACGTGTATGAACGTTTAATTTAGAAGGTTATCTAATTAAACGTGATCCCGGTGTGTTGGCAGGATGAAAATACCACCTCAGTAGGTCTCTGCTTTTCGTAAAAGACGACTAAAAGAAAAAATTCACAGGTCAGAGTAGAGTATCTACGATTTATGGTAAAACGTAGGGACGCACAGGTTAAAGTAGCTAGCTACGATTCCTGATAAGTTGAGCTCTTTGCTAGCAGGCTAAGTGTAAACACCAGGGAGTTAGGCGGGTATTTACGCATTTATGGTCAAGTCCTACTAAGTTGCTCAGCTTTTGGGAAGTGCAACTATCTACCAGGTCAACTGTGAAATGATAAGTACGGTCATATAAATACGGACTCATCTCGATTTAGCCAAGCATATCCGTCTGAATAAGAAAAAGGAAAAAAGAAGCAAAGAAGAAAAAGCTAAAAGGCTGCAAAAGCCAATAAATCGGTTGAACAAATAGCAAATACTCATAAGGGTGGTTACCCTGAAGCTCCGACAGTCTGACCTTCGGCCAGATACTAAGCGAACGGCTGATACACTAACAGAGTTGTGCAACGAGAGGATAATATTTATCATTGCCTATGACTCTACCATAAGCGAGAATAGTGTTCTCAGCTGGCTGCAGAAGCAAAGCAGCTGTGTTAAAGACACTTTGAAATGGAGGATCACTAACTTCAGCAAGTTTGGAGATGCAGGCAGTGCTGGAGTCATGCTCACATAATGGTGCCCTAAAGAAGAGGCTGAGTTGATTAAAACCACAGGGGGCAGGCTCAACTGTCAACTTTTTTGATCACGAGGTACATATACAAATAAAATAAAATAAGTAAACCTTTTATCACGAACTTCACTTAGAACAATGGGTTAAATTTCATTGGAGTGAATGTTAGGTGCTTTCTTAAGAAAGTGGCTAGTTGAACTGTGGGAGAAAAATCTTATTATCTTATTATTATTGATTAAATAAAATTTACTAAAAATATGAGTCAAGCATCATCTTATTTCTTTACTATTTGGGTCGTGGTCATTTAGTGTTGAGACTTCTTCTGGTTGTTGTCGTTCAAAAATCTGCTGTGGTCTAGACCGCGCATCCAGTCTTTGTTCAATGCATCATTTTTTTCATTTAGAAAGTTATGCAGAGCACAACACGTTCGTATAATGTAGGTTGTGTTTTTTATTTTGTTATCTATACCCTTACCTACTCTGCGAAATATAGGAGTCATTAATTCGTCCAGGATAACCGCAACCGATGTAAAGGAAATGGTATCTGTAACCATGTATGCATGTTTACATGTTTATTTATAATAACTTTGTTTATTTTATACATAAAATTAATATAATACTTGCCTAAAATCGACCAGAGCAAACAGAACCGTCTCGAATACCACCCTTTGTAGTTTTAGTCATCTGCTTACAATTAAAATGTAAACAAACAAAAGCTCTAAAACTAGAACTTTTTGACACATAAAAGCTTTTTCCCATTCCTTAAATAACTTGTGATAATGTAAACGACCAAAAGCTCAATGTTACTATATGGCTTACTAAGTACGTAGTGGAAACATAGTATTAGCAATAGAAATTTGTCTACCGTTCTATCATTGATAGACAACCCATAATGGGCACTATTATTATTGTCACAATGTACATTATTAAATAAAGTTTACAAAATGTTTATTTTACTAAATTCACTAAATATTCGACGCGTAATTTTATAACTTTTTTTTATAACTATACGCTTTGCAACATTTTTCAATTTGGTTTAATGATACTCTAGGGGTATTCCCTCTCTCTTGCAAACTCATTGCAAGGAGCACGAAATGCAAGAATGCTATACAAAAACTGCAACACTGCGAGAACACCTCTATTGCAGAATTGCATCATCAAAATGAATCAGCTGTTTTTGCAGCCGTATCACATTGAGCAAAGAAAAATAAAAGTATAACAATGCCGCAAACAAGTGAAATACAAAAATGTATAGATTTTTTTATTGAAAATAGTGCTTTTAATATTCTGATTGAAGGTATTAACATGTTGTTAACCCATTTTCCGCCGCTACAAGAAATTGTTGAGATATTTAAGTGATTTTTTTGTGTAATCTATTTAGAAACTAAATATTGTTTTTTCAAACTTTTAAGGTCGTAGAGCTTTCCGTTTCCCAGAAAATGACTGGTGAGAATTCTTACCAACGGCGGATAGCGTAGTCATACACTAACAGTTTTTAGCAAATAAATTAGTTTGAAAAAACCCTGTCAATCTTTGTTAAATAAAGGTAGAATCGAATCTTTTGCCTTTAAAGAAAATAATTAAGGTTTAATTAAAAAATTATTTTTATTTGTAATTATGAGCTTTATATTTTGAAAAACACTTAGGGTGAATATGTACGTCACATTTCATGCACTTATATGGCGTATGGGTATGACACTCAGCACAACGTCTTAGTTTCGCATCTGGATTTCTAATTATTAAGTGTTTTTACCCCTTGCATTGATCCGATAGCTGGATATCCCATTATCAGCCATATCGACTCCACCCATGTATGAATTGTAATTTTTTATAACGATGGGTTGATTGATATGAACAAATTTGTGTTCTTTTCGATTGTAACGTCGAGTTTTTCCTAATGGGTTTATTAATTCAAAATTTGTAACAACTGTAACAGTTGCATTGCCCTGCCAAGTAACAACTGTAGTAACTGTAGTCAAATTCACCTAAGAATTCACAATTATTATAAATATAAAATTATAAGTTATGTAGTGAAAATATATCCTTTTTCATTTCACTTTTTATCTTGAGATTTGGTAATCTATTGCGACGTGCTGTTCCCGTGGCTAAAAATTTCTTTTTATTCGGAATACAAAATAAGTAATGTGAACTAAAAAATTGTCAAAAAATACTAAATGATGTTGTGGGTTCTCAACATTTTTAAGTAATTCGAGCACAACATGTGCACCCAAACCCAACTTCTTATCGTAGGGTTGTGAGGCTCCTGCATATGGAATAGTGTTAAATATATAACCATCACTTGATGCTAATGCCCATATTTTAAACCCGAAACGAATTGGCTTAGACCGAACAAACATTTTACAAGAATGTCTTCCAAAATAAGGCACCATTTGCTCATCAATTGAAATATGCTCCTCAAAAATACCAAACTGCATAAATTTCTTATTCATCAGATTGATAAGTGGTATGACTTCTGCAAAACGGTCCATCGAATTCAGTGTTTCATTATTGGCTAAATGTATATACTTTTTAATAGTTCGAAATTGAGCTCGTGAAAATGCTTGTTGAACAATTGGAACACCTAAGTCACTTTTGTTGCTCCAATATAATTCTACTTGAGGAACAGTATGATACCCTGTTAGTAACAGAAAACCAATAAACCGTACTATATTGGTTTTGTTGCAGACATCTGAGCCAACATTATTTTGATGTGCGTATATGTTTGTTTGTTCAACTATATAATTAATAACTTCGTCGTCCAAAAAAAGTTCCACATATTCCACCACATTTTTGCCACCTACAAAAATGAAGATAATCTTAAAAATAACAACCGAGACATAAAAAATTCACAAAAACTTACTGAGTTTAGCAATAAGCTCATTTTGTTTTTCAAATAAAGCAGTTGCATTGTGATGATTTCTAAACTTTGTGATCTTAGTTTTTTTCCACTTTGGCTTTTGAAAGCTTGAGATAGTCTGTTTCGTTGCAGTATCTAACAGTGGAGCAGCGAAGTCATTTAGTGACGTGTATTCTACTTCGACTTCACCAGCGATTTCGCACAACGCATCCAAATCGACGCCAGTAATAATATTGTCATCAATTTGTTCTTCATCGTTTTGATTATCAACTGCTGGTGGTGGTATATAAACAATATTTTCAATGGAATTTAAATTTAATTCGCTTTCTTCATCGTCGTCACTTTGTTCCAAAAATGTGTGAACATTTTCCATTCGCATAAGTTCGAACACCAAACCCATCATTGCTTAAGCATAAAAAGTATTTATATAGGTGTAGCGACTTTATATTTACATATATTACCAAGAACTATACATATATGAAAAATTTAAAGTTTTAACTTTATGTTTAAAAAGCTTAATAAAAGGAATTTGATAAATTCATAAGAATTTGTATTGGTTTAAAAAAAAATATATATATTCAATTAATAAATTAATTTCTAAATTATTAAATATGTAAATAGAAATTCTAAATAATATAATTATGCACTAAAAGTTATTATATGTCAGTTCGACATTTAAGTATTGTCAGTTAAAGTACTGGTAACATAAGAATTCTTACCGCCCGGCGGAAAATGGGTTAATGTAGTTTTTACTACTGTATAGTTTCTATATATTAGAAACTATACCGGTAGTCACCTTGCTAGGTAGTCACCTTGTCGTGGTGTAGGGGCTTATTGTGGACTGAAGCATGTCATATGGAAGTCATGACATGATGATTTTTCATGTGACATGATTCAGCACACAAACTAAGAACTGCCGCCAACGCACAGGTTGAAAGTAGGTATCTACGATTCCTGATCAGTCGTTGAGGCTAGCTAGTGGACTTTAATGGACACTTGCTAATTGGTCAGTCCTATAGGAAAGTGCGGCTATCTATCAGACCAATGACTCGCCTTCAGTACGGTCATGTCTCTGCTGTTTGTGGGTCGCCGATAGTCGGGCGGGGGAGAAGGAAAACTCCCTAGGGCAGGGTCTGTACATATTCTAGGCTCCCAAGGCTAGGTCTTGATAGACTGGAATATGAACATACCTATTGCCCCAAACAAACCCCCTAAACTCACAGTGGAACAGCTATGCTGGTGAACTTGCTTGACAGGGTAGAGTCAAGCTTAATAGCGAACTCCGTACCAGGTCTGGCAAACCTACGGTTTCAATTTGTCCTTCCCATGGGGGCGCTCATGGGTGACCAACCTGCACGGTTTATTTAAACTTACTTTGTATGGAACCTAATAACATTTTCAATTCTATGGACTGCACACCTTTAAATGTGCAAAATATGGCTTTACACAGCCAAAACTTATCACTGAACGAGGGGGCACCTGGTACCATCGTCAGTGAACAAATGGACCACGACTTGTTGGAGAGGGCACCTGGTCCTCTACCCGACAAGCCGGAGGAAATGGACATTCCACTTAGCCAAGAGTCGGCTGGGATGTCTATCTCCTCGGAACAGGAGAGAGATCTTCTGGAGCCTGGTCTAACTAAAAAGACTCAAACGAGGGTGAAGCTATCCGGCGCTGGACGCAAAAGGTTGAAGGCTTTACTTGCCAAGGGCATCCCGCTGGAAACAGCAAGGTCCTTGGCAGTAAAGCCGGCCACTGCGAGTAACGAAGGGCAGGCAACACCAAAAAGATCCCGATCGGACAGCTCTACACCAACATCAAGCTCAAAACCGACAAAGCGGATTGCACTACAGGGCAAGAAAGTTGATAATAAATTAACAGTGCCTGCAACTGCTTTGCCGATTTTCAGTAGGATGAAGGAAGTAGAGACCTCACACGGGGGCAAACCTGGTCCCAGTAAAGAGGTGGCGACGGTATCTGTGGGGCAGGCTGAACACAGTACTTCTTCCGAAGACCATTGTTCAAAGCCTACCCTAGCAGAGACTGTTCGCTCTAAGAAGATCGGTATACTACCGCACAATTTCCCAGAGGGCATTTGGTCCAATGAGGAAATTGGCAAGGTGCAGAAATGCATCCTCGACAAGATGTACGAAACTTGTCGAGCTCCTGGGGTGAAGCCTCATTTCGCCGGTTACAGTCTAAAGCCCGGATGGTTTGCCATTAACTGTCTGGACGACGAGACTGTAACTTGGTCTAAAGAGACAATCCCAGCCTTGAAGCCGTGGGAAGGAGCCCAGCTGAAGGTAGTGGACGAGGCAGAAGTGCCAAAGTCTGAAATCTATGTTGGCTACTTCCCAGGCTCAGCTTCCTGGCAAAGCGACCGTATTCTGGGACAAATTGAGTGCCAAAATTCGGGCATGCGTGTCAGGGACTGGCGGGTACTCCACAGGCTCAATAAAGGCGACATCGTCGAGATGGCGATTGCACTGGATCCTATGTCGTCCGAAATGGTCGGAAAGCTGGGCAATAAAGTCTTCTATGGACTTAGCAGTGCCGTGCTGAGACCAAGACATAAAGGAAACAGAGCAAAGGAAGTGGTTGAAGATGAGCGACCAACAACATCTGCGGCTTGTGCTCAGTCAAGCAACCAGAAGCCGAAAACGGGTCTCAATTCCGGGAGACCACCCTTGAGAGGGGGCAGAATCCGTGCCCAAGGCCGAAAACCTTCCGCTCTCTCTGGTCGTCTGAGGAAATGGGAAAGAAAAGACCCGGAGGCCGCGGAATTGCTGCGCGGTACAAAGGGCGGCAAGGTCCGCAAGGGCCAGTCTGGGATATAATGTCCCGGACTCCGCCACATCCGCAAAACTCTTGGAGGCAACTTCATTGCCTCCAAATCAACCTCCACCGGGCTATAGCAGCTTCATACAGGCTCAGTGCCCTGGTGGAACAACACTGTCTGGATTTTGTGGCCATCCAAGAACCATGGGCCACAAAGGGGCGCATAAACGGTCTACAGACAAAAACGTGTAAGTTAATCTATGATAATAATGTTGATCGTCCTAGAACGGCGATAATGATTAACAAAACCATTAAATCTCTTCCAATTACAGAGCTCATACAGCGTGATCTGGTGGCGGTACAGGCAGAAGTGCCTAGTACTAGGGGGACGAGAATAATAGTTTTTGCATCTCTGTACCTCCCTGGCGACGCAGAGGAAGCGGTGTCTCTCGAGTTCCAGCAGCTTACAGAATACTGCCGTATCCGAAACCTACAGTGGGTAATGTGCTGCGACGCCAACGCACACCATACAGTATGGGGAAGCACAGACATCAATACACGAGGTGAGTCACTTTTTGATTATATCACAACTAACAATTTAATGGTAGTTAATAAAGGTAACGAACCTACTTTTGTAAATGCGATAAGGGAAGAGGTATTAGATCTCACTTTAGCCAGCGCATTTATATCAAATAACATTTCAAATTGGAGGGTGTTGGAGGAGAACTCCTTATCAGATCACAGATATATAAGCTTTGATTTGGAAGGGGAAGTTGAAGACACTTTCGAAATAAGAAATGTTAGGAAGACCAACTGGTCTCTATATAACTTCTATTTAGAACAAAACATTAGTTGTCTTGGGAATAGGATTACTAATTGTCAGGAACTAAATCTTGAGGTTAACAAACTAGAAAATATTATTACAGGGGCTTTTGAAAATAGCTGCGAACTTATCAAAAAGAAACGTTCTAGGAACGTCCCATGGTGGAATAGGGAACTAGATATTTTACGCAAAAAAGCCCGCCAGCTCCTTAATAGAGCCAAGTCCAATGGGGACTGGGCATCTTACAAGTGTGCCTTAACGGCTTACAATAGGGAATTGAGGAAATCAAAGAGGGAATCATGGAGGAGGCACTGCGAGGAGATTGAAACACTTCCTGCGGCTGCGAGACTCCAGAAATCTCTAAATAAAGACCACTCAAATAGCCTCTCTACATTAAAGAAGGCTGACGGAAGCTTTACGGTAAGTCTGGAAGAAACGGGACAGCTTTTGCTGGACACTCATTTTCCAGGCTGCGCCATGTATACTGAGACTACGGAAACCATCGAGGATACTCGTTTCTTATTGGTTACACGAAGAGATCTTTCACTGGCCCGTAAATCTTTACAGTCAATAAAACTAAATGGGCCATTTCCACTTTCAGCCCGTTTAAATCACCTGGTATCGATAATATACAACCGTGCCTTCTTCAGAAAGGCGTTGATATATTAGCACCGATATTAACAAACTTATTTAGGATAAGTCTAGAATTAGGCGTAATACCTAAACATTGGACGAAGGCTAGGGTAGCTTTCATACCGAAAGCAGGCAAAAAGGCGGACCACACGCCAAAAGCTTTTCGGCCCATTAGCCTTACTTCTTTCCTGCTTAAAGCAATGGAGAAGATTCTAGATCAATACATCAGGGAAGTCTATATTAAAGCTTCACCTCTACATATTGAACAATATGCTTATCAGTCGGGCAAATCGACCGACACCGCTATACATAGTCTGACGAGTAAAATCGAGAAGGTTTTAGACGGTAAGGAAATAGCTCTCTGCACATCGGTTGACATTACAGGAGCTTTTGATAATGCAACATTCAGATCAATTGAGGCAGGAATGGTCAGGAAAGGAATACATAGACTGATCATAACATGGATTCTCAATATGCTGAAAAATAGGACGATAATCTTTGAAATGGGGACGAAGAGATTAACTGTCAAGTCAACCAAAGGATGTCCTCAAGGAGGCGTTCTTTCGCCACTCCTATGGCTATTGGTCATTGACGAACTCCTACAGTCTCTTGGTGACCTCGGATATGAAGTTCAGGGCTTTGCAGATGATCTAGTCATCATGGTTAGAGGCAAATTCGACTCCACCATATCCGATCGTATGCAACTAGCTTGATATCACTCAAAATTGGTGTCAAGAGAAAGGACTCTCGATTAATCCGATTAAAACAAATGTAGTACCCTTCACCAGAAGAAGGAAGATGAGTCTAGGGACCTTAAAGTTAGGGGACACTGACTTAATACTATCTGAGGAAATGAAATATCTAGGAGTAATTCTAGATAAAACTCTTACTTGGAAAAACCATTTATCATATATAACTGGCAAAGCTCTAAGAGCAACTTATGCGTGCCAAAGACTGTATGGTAAAATATGGGGTCTGCGACCAAAAATGATGGCTTGGTCGTACAAGACCGTAATAGTACCGATGATCACCTATGCTTCTTTGGCATGGTGGCCAAAGGTAAATCAGACGAAGGCTAAGATGACTCTCAATAAGATTCATCGAACAGCCTGTCTAAGCGTAACGGGAGCAATGAGAACGTGCCCCACAGAAGCCCTAGCAATGCT